AAAAAAAAAAAAAAAAAAAAAAAAAAAATAGCAACTTGATCATAACAATGTCATGATAGAGTGAATACTAGATCTTAACTGCATAAGGTCAACCGTAGTAGTTTAATTTAAAAAGTAAAATATAAAAAAAAGAATATAAAGAAACGTTTATAAGAGAAGGTATTGTAAGCTAATTAGTATAAAAATAATATCCCCTTCTCTATTTCAAAAATGCACTGGAATATTTATTGTAATTAAACGATATATCTAACTTAATTTTTTTTGTAAGTCCAGTATTTGAAGTGACAATCAGATATAGTATATAAGCTCAAATAGAAAAATAAAATAAAAGATGGGAGAAGAAAAAAGATTAAAAACTTTCGTAACAAAAGGTTACTTGTATTTATTGTATTGTTACTGGGTGTCAGTAAGGGTAAAGGTGCTCATAGCAAGGTTAAAAATAAGTTTTATAAGTAGAATTTGGTATTGTAGTGATCACCAGATCTTAATATAAGATCAATATAGAGCAATATAATGCTAAGTCTTGTGAGATAAAGTGAAAAATAAAATAAAAAGGTGATTAAGCAATCGTTGCTTAAGATATAGGATAATGTAAAATGGTTAGGTTTGGGTAAAGGCTTGAATATAATTTGAGTTATATAAGAGTTTCTGTCGCGTGACCACCAGATCTTAATAGATTAAAAGAAATAACTTGCGTTATATAAAAATAAAAGTAAAGATAAAAGTGAATCCTACTGATGCGAGGCTTCAAGATAAGCGTATCGGTAGTTAAGAGTATTAAAAGAAGAGTAAAAGTATAAAAGAGTAATAAAAAGTACTTTAAAATACAAAATGTATTAGAAAGTAAAAGTCTTTAAATAAAAGAATATAAAGGTGAGTGAGTTATACTGAGAACAGAACTAACTGATAGCTAACTGATAACTAGATGATAACTAGATGATAACTAGATGATTTTATTTAAAAGTATTGAATGTATTTATACTAAAATAATTTAAAATTCATTTGTTTGAACTTCATGAGGAACATGAACTTCATACAAGTCGTGAAGTTCGTCTGCCTCATGAAGTTCGTGAGGGTCACGAAGTTCATCTGTTTCAACTCCGCTATTGTTACAATATTTTCAAAAATATTGTTATTTTCCTTAGGAGTTGTAAGGGTTGTTGTTGATATAGAGAGTTTCCTTGAAATTTTATAGGTTTAGGTGCTTGATGTGACCACCAGGTCTTTTAAAGTTGATCAAACTGTGAAATATAAGTAGAAAAAAATAAAAGAAGAGATCAGGAATTTTTTATAACAAAAGGTTGCCTGTTTATTTGAATAAAAGATAAGAATATGAATTGAAAATTGTTTTTTTTGACTACTACAGAAGAAAATATTTATATCATTTCATTGTTTATGATCTCAACCTTTCAAACAAAATGAAAATCGTCGGCTTGATCGGGTGTGACAATGTCACTTTCTTGATTACAATATGAAAACTTCAAATACAGTCTTTTCAGAAAGTAAAGGCGCATTTTCGCAATTTTTATAATACTGTAAATCTTGTAGGCCATGGGTTTGAGTGTGTTGTAAAAGGTAATAAAAATAGAAGTTTGTGTGTTCGTAGTCTTTTGTAAGACTTGAGGTTCGTAGCAAAAGTGTTTAAAAGGTAAAGTTATAATAAAGGTTCGATGTATGACCACCAGATCGTGTAAAGTTGATCAGACTGAGTTGTACAAAGTAAAAAGAATAATAATAAAAAAAAGATAAAAAGGTTCCTGAATCCACTTGATTGGATTATTCAGAAGTTAAAAAAAGATAAAAATAAAAAGGAAAAGGTTGTGATTCAAATCGTAGGTGATTTATTGAATGAATTGAGCTTTTTGCAAAAGCATTGCTCTTTTATACTTGATAATGTAGAATTTCTTATTATTTTAATATATATATAAATAATGTTGATGTATTGTAAGGTTCGTGTGCTTGGTTAAACTGATATTTATAAATTTGGCGTTAAGGGTTCGCTTTGTAGTGACCACCAGATCTTTAATAGATCAAATAAGTAATTGAGTAATAAAAGACAAATAAGGTAAATAAAAGTAGGAGTTTGAAAATACTCTGACAGGTAATATAATTGTTATACCAAAATCAGAATTAAAGAAAAGAGAAAAAGGGGAAAAAAGGGGATTTTACTTTATAAAAAGATATAAAGGATTTATTGATGTTTCAATGAATAATTCTCCTGAGAGAACCAAAAACAAAGCAGTATTTATACTGTTCAAAAAGATAATTTGAAGCCAGTCATTCATGACACAGTGTCACTAGTGACTGACTTTAGAAGTGGGTGGGTGACACCACATCTTCATCGTCGTTATCGTCACAATGTCGTCCTCTGAAACAAATTCCCAAAAATAGTAGTTACAATAAGTTAACCTTAGTTGATAAATTAACTTTAGTTAATTTATCAACTAAAGTTGTCAGGATTCAGTTCCACAGAGTTACCCTTATCGGCATCTTTTGCGTTACACCAAAAAGGGTATTAGCGTCATTCTTATTCGACAAATTTTAAACTTCGTTAGAGAAACGAGAAAAATAATTTTTTTCACATCAATTGATCGGATGTGACTCTGCTGAGTGGGCTTCTCCGGGAATCGAACCCGGGACCTCTCGCACCCTAAGCGAGAATTATACCACTAAACCAAGAAGCCCTTTTGGTATTTTTGTAAACTTAAAATTCATTTTATAGGGAAAATATCTCGTGACATTCACGTGATGTTTTCTCTGCACCTTTCCAAAGATGCTTTTTCTAATTGTGCGAGAAACTGAGAACGAAAAGAAGTTCTTGCTTTTCTTGGTGGCAAAGAGTTGAATAAATAGCAGTTATTTGAAAAATGCACCTCATCAAGCATTAATTCAAATCTCGACCTCTTCATTTCCTATTTATTGTGCCTGAATCTACTTATCGGTTTTTTTTTTTTTTTTTTTTTCAATTCTATGATAATTTAGAAATGCTGAAACGATAGCATGCAGTAAAATTACTTTAAGTCATTTATTAGTTTCAAACGTGTGGCTTATAAGCATCAATGGATTGGTCATTACTATAATGTAATGTGGGAGATGTTGGTAGTATCGCATGTAGAGATCTTAGTATTGAGATGTTAACAATAGCAATGTTTATGTCAGATGTTTTATGCAAGGCGTCCTACAAAATTTATATTTGAAAACGATAGTTTTGAGTCTTTTATTCTATTCATATCATCAATTTTAATGGGAATCCAAACACGTCTATTTTACTGTCCAACTAAAGCAAAGTTACGACACAATATCTAAAGGACGTTGGAATGGTGGATAGGATGCACGTAACTACCTCACAGGTAAAGACCAATATTGGACATGATCATATCTGACGGTTTACGATGATGCCTTGGTGTTTTTTGTAATTTAATTGGCGTGTATACAAATGCCTACTTGCTAACAATAAAATAGTTTTATTTAATTCTACAGATCAATGTGATTTTCCGTGCTGGATAAAGTAACAGCTGATCTATTTCTACGTAAAGGGCTTGATTCTTTCAGCAAGAAGGATATCCATGCGTCGGTAAATGACTATAAACAATTAATATTTCGTTCAAAGTATACCAGTCTTCTTTACTTACTTCTGTTACGGGCTGTTCTATAGCAGTAGGAGGCGGTGAGCCTAAAGATTGCTTTGGTCTTAATAAGCCAATTTGTTCCTTTTCCTCTTCAGTTAAATGTAGTACATTGGCAATGATTGTTAAAATATCATATCGTTTTCTGTCACCACGAGGCGTGTTCAAAAATCCTATGAGCAAATTGCTTATGAGCTGACTATAGATGAATGTGTTGTTAGATTCAATGTATATGAAATAGCAAATTGCATAGCATTTACCGATCCACGCTATCTTCATTTGCTTCTTCTTTTAGTTTTCTCATAGCTTCTACGAGGTGTTCGTTAAGTATAATGGCTTCATGCCGTAACTTGCCAATCAGCAGGTTCTTTTCTTTAATTTCCTTCTCATATCGCTCTGTTTTTTCAACTCCTTGCTGATATTTTTCTAGAGCGGCTTCTGCTATGAGGGCTCTTTGTTCATATTCCTTCCATGATTTTTTTGCTACATCTAGCTGCTTTTGTACGTGTTCGATGGCTGCCTGCATTTCAGCGTCTTTTGCTATAAAAGCGATAATCAGTTTCATTGTAGTCGATTTTATGTGTGTATATCATCCTACTTGCTTGGAACTCTTCTAAGACAGTTTGTAAATTAGTTAAACTTGTCTTTTCAGACTCTCTCTCTGCTTGCTCTGTAGCAAACTTGATCTTCAATGCTTCAAGTTCTGCCTGAGTCTTTTGTAATTTCTCTTGAACTTGGCTACATTGTACATCCATTTCCATTGCCATAGACTCGTACTCCTCACATTTGGTTCGAAGTTCCTCTACTTGTTGTGAGAGGTTTCTGATTGACCGTTGCTGCCTTTCTTGTTCTTCTTGGTGCTCTTGTTCTTTTATGTTTAACTGGGCCTGGTAATCTTCGAGTTGCTGATTTGCAGTGTCCAACTGATTTGTTAATTCGCTAACCTTTTCTCTCAATTGTTTATCCTGTTCCAATCGAGGTGTTAGTGTTTCCTTGATGTGTGCCAGTTTTCCTATTAGTGATTGATGCTCCTTGTATAATGAGTCTCTCTTATTTTGTGATTCTATCAAATCATTCTTTGCGTCTGATAATTGTCTTTCAAGAGATTCTACTTGACTTTCTAGTTCTTCCTTTTCTGAGCTTAGCTTTTCCTTTTCTTCTGATAGTTCATTGTTGGTAATATTCAACTGTGTGATCTGCCGTTTCAAGTCTATCTCCATAAACAAATCAGTAAGACCGTTTATGTTCCCTTTTATCCATAAAGTATCTCTCTTTAATACCTTTTTGAACTTCATCTATATTGGATCGATGACTATTTACTGTATTTTGAAGTTGGTGTAGATCGCTCCTGACTTGCTCCAAAGTTAGTCGTAAAGAAGGTGTAATAGAGCTATCCTCAATTGTTCCATTCTCAGGATCTTGTAAAATATTTTTCAAACTAGTTTCAATATCATCTTTTGTACGTTAACGGCTTGATACACACTTTCTCTTTATGACGATGATTTACAAACCTTGAACTGCTTGTGATAAAGGTGCATTTATCGCCTTCTTTGGTATTCTCTTTTGAACGGATTTGATATAGCTATCTAACAAGGTTGAGGTGGACACATCTGGGCTATTTTTGTGTTCTTCGTCAATAGTTGTTTCAAGAATATCCACGAGCTGCTTTATCTCTTTTTGATGACCCTTTTTCGTATTATCCAACTTCGTTTTTAAATCATTTATTTCCTTTGATAATTCTTCTCTTTGTTTTTTTTCTTCGGCCATCTTTTTTGACAGATTGGCATTCTCTTGAGTGAGTGCCTTGAGATGACTACCTGCTTGTGTCAACTTTTTTTGAAAGTTCAGTAACTGAGCGTGTTCTTCCTTCCAGCTTGCTTCTTTTTTCTCATATTCTTTAAGTTTTGACTTTAAAGCCTCCACTATTTTTTAAATGTATTAACATGATGAATAAAACGATATGAAGTGAGATGGAGAGAGAAATTTACCTTCTTCTACTACTGCTGACATTTCAAAAAGAAATACATGTTTTTGGGATTTTAATATCAGACACTTTAAAATAGGATAAACCAAAACATTCAATCGGTGAGGATATCGCACCTCCTCCAAATCATTCATATTTGCAAACAAGCATCTAATATCAAATCCAATCAAATCCAAGGCTATATCTATCTTTCTTTTTGGTGGATCATTCTATCGTCATAGGGAGCACTACCTTCAAGACCATAATATTATTCAGTTCCATGATTAGGCCACCTTCAAGACCGCGGTTTACTTAGTGCATCCTTCCGACTATTTGATTCTCAGTGGAGTGTGGTATGCGACTGTCTCAACTATTATTTTTATTACAGTTATTTTTTCATATATTTTACTTATATCAATGTAGTGTTGTCAGGTACAAGAATGAATAGGGATACGTATAGTCATTGATTCTTCTTATAAAACAAAAGGTTTTCATATTTGTGATGGACAACGCGACAGTTCACAAAACACCTGAAGGTCTTCAAGCAATTCGTGATCGTGGGAGCGCTCTCTTGCTTTTACTTCCTTATTCGCCATTTTTGAACCCTATTGAAAAGTGCTGGGCAAAAGCCAATCAAGAAGTGCGCAAAATATCTTTAATGACGAACGAAATTTTAGCTGACTGTAAAGAAGTAGCAGCAAAAACAGTTACAGCAGAAAGCTGTAGAGGGTAGATCTATCTCTTGCAAATTTTTTCCTCAAGTGTTTTAGCATAGATGGAATATAAGTACCATAATAACAAGATTGGAATGCCTTTAATCATAAGATAGAGAACCCTTCTAAAGCGGTATAAATTTATTTTATATTTACAATTCAATAGGACAATGTGAATATATGAAATCCTGGTTGATTATTAGTATTTAAGTGCGCATCCCCGTAAATGACCCATGTGTCCATACTTGATACTTTGGATTATCGCTATCTCAAAGCCCAGGAATCTTGGTTCTTCTAGTACATCTTCATCTTCTTTTGGCGTGCAACTCATTCAAAATACTTAATATATCGGAATCAAAGATAAAGCTGATTATTACAATATCATCATTTTATATGCAAACAAGATTATTACGTGACCAATGATAATTAAACATGTCCTGATGTATGCTAATAACATATATTGCTGTCAGTATCTTTGTATAGTTCATTCTTACAGTATAGGTTTACAGCTTTTTGATGCTTTATAGCTGTTACTATTGGTTTTCATCTTTTTTAACATGCGTTGAATGCCTTAGGAGCATGCTTATATGCTTCGTTTTTGGTACAAGTACAGGCACTCTGATAGAAGCGAAAATCGCTGTATTTGGGAAGATGGCTCTCTGTTCTGGAAAGTTATTGTCGTTGATTGAAAATTTATTTTATATTTTTTTTTTTTTTCTCTACTCTTCTTTAGATTTCTTTTTTCTTCTTTCCCTTCTTATATATCCTTTCCCTTCTAGATGACTCGTAAGTGTTAGCCATTGAACATCCCTTAAAGCTGATAAAAATGATTCCAAGCTTGTTCTTATAGGCGGCAATCAAAGAGAACAAGCACGTTTAAAGAACCTTAAGAAAAAAGAAAAAGAAAACAAGGGAAAGTCAAGTTTGAACGGTATGACTGTCACTCAAAAGAAAGAATAGTAAGCAAAGAGAGCTTGATATCAAAAAGGTTGTTCACCAATTATTCTAGTGATGCTGCCATTATGCGTGCTAAACAAGAAGCTGCAGCAGCAAAAAAAGCAGCTGAAGGTGCCGGAAAGAAAAAATAAGTATAAAAGGCTCTTATTCCTTCAAAGGGTCGATATTAAAGTATGTATAAACAAAGCATAAATAGAACAAAGTAATCTTTCCCCACTTTCAATAGCCAAAACTGTCTAACATTTTTAAATAGTTTTTTTTATTTTCTTTTTTTAAATGAAGGCTAATTGATTCCAGTTTACAATAAATACACAATAAACTACGCCTAAACATTGCAGAGCTGGCCTTGTAAGATAAACTAGAAGCGAAAACAAGTCTTATTCTTTATTGTTAGTCATTAAAATACAACTGTCATCTCTTAATATGAAAGGTCAGTTTTTTTTTTTTAATAAAAAGGTCAAGGCGTTTTATTTGGTAATTTTGGGCATATTCAAAGCTGTATGTGCTTGTAAGATATCTTGCATAGTTATCCTTTGTGCATTCATATCTTTTCTTAGCGCCAATGTACCCGCCTCTCTAAGTATGTGTGTAAGAAAAAGACGTTTTATCATTTTAAAAATGTACCTGAATAAATTCTCAATGTCAGCTCCTGTACATGATTCGGTTTGATATGCTAATGTCACAAGATCCACATCTTCAGCTATTGCTACTCTATGCATATAAGTCTTGATTATTTCTATACGTTCCTTTAGCGTAGGTAAATCCACAAGAATTAACTGATCCAATCGTCCTGGTCTTAATATAGCATCATCGATATGATCTAGTCTATTTGTACAGCCAATGACAACAACACCTTGTCTGCCCTCAACACCGTCCATTTCGTTCAATAAAGTACTCAGCACTCGTTCGTTAACTCCTCCCGAAATATCATCCAGCCCTCTCTTGGTGCCTATCGCGTCCATTTCATCAATAAATATAATGCAGGGTGAGATCCTTTTGGCAGTAGCAAATATAGTTCTAATCTTTTCCTCAGTCTCCCCTAGATATTTTGAAAATATCTCTGGTCTAAACAAACAAGATTAATATCATATATATGTTATACTTCAACATATACCCTTTGATAGAAATGACATTCATCATAGATTCGGTTATGAGTGCTTGCACCAGAGCTGTCTTTCCTGTGCCTGATGGGCCGTACAGCAATAAGCCAGAAGGTGGTCGAATGCCCAGTTTTGTAAATACATATGGTTCTCGCAAAGGTAAAAGGACTGCTTGTCTCATCCGATCTTTTATCTCTTTGTACCCACCAAGCTCACTCCAGTCTCTTTTAGGCATTGTAACCTCTTGCTCTAACTGCTGTGAAGGTCTGTGGACCTGTATGGCATATTCAAAATCTTCCCATTGGATATCAGAAGAAATGGATAGCTGTTCTAATCGGTTCGCTATATCCTCCTCCTTTGCTGCCTTTCTTCTTTTTGATTTCAACATGGTTTGTCGTATCAGCGATTTTAAATCTCTTGCGACATAACCAGAAGTACGCAAGCTTATTTGGGTGGAATATTCTTCAACGGTTTGTTCGTCTAAATCCAATACTTTCATCATTTCTTTCAAAAGTGATTTTCTTTGTGTCCTGTATACATGAAAAAGATAAGTCATGTAAAGAAGCTTAAAAAAGAGCATTCGTACATGGTTGGGATCGGTAATGCCATATGCTGTCTGAATATATCTGTTCGTTTGAAGGCATCAGGTAGTGAAGATAATTGATGGGCTAATCCAATAATACATATCTGTTTGTGATCATCTATGCTATTTATTGCAGTTGATATAATGTGAATCAATTTGCTTGCTTTATCTCTTCCAACAGAACCAAGCGCGTTTAGATCACGTAGGATGATGATGGATGGTGTCGTATGAGCAGCTTTATTCATCATTAAGCAAAGTGGGTTATAATTTACAAATTCTGGTGAATTATATTCTTCCTCTTTAAACTGTAGTAAGTCATAAATTGATAGTTCATACAATATACACGATAATGATTCAGCAACCTGACTATTATTATAGCATTAGTATTAGATATATTCAAAGATCATCGTTTTACCTTATTAGCGTTGTCTTTCCTACTCCTGACACGCCATGAATTAATACAGACTTTACTATCGGAATATCCAATGCTTGGTAGGCCGTGGAATTCATAAACGAATGATCTAGTTTTATTAAGCACACAGTACTTTCACTTATTCTCTTATTCCTCTTACTGATAATGTCTACTAGACTTGTTACATAAATGTCATCTGTATACTTTCTTTTCGGTGGTCTTTCTATGCATATCTCTATATCTGTTGTATGTTTGTCTATTTTACACATTTCGTCAAAGATCTTTTTAATCGTACAACGAATGATCCGATTGCCCATCTTCCATTGAATCACTTTGCCTTCACACAACTATGTATGATGTAAATATAAAGCAAGTTGAGCGTCACTATATTTTACTGTTAAACCGTGAAGTCGTCTTTGGATCATGGCATGGTAATCAGGTACTTGTCTTCCATTGACATAAACTGGTTGATAATAATTTAGTTCAACAATAACTTTGTTTAACATTAAGAAAAAAGAAAAAAAAAAAAATCTATGTCGGGCCTATTTTTATTATTGTTTTGCTTTGGATATCTCAAGTAAGAATACACTGGAGAGTGTACCTGCATTGACCTTTATTTCAGATTCAGCGTCTTGTTCACAAGTATACTTTAATTCATCAAATCCAAATGCATCCTTGGATATGAGTCTACACTGAAGATTCCACTTGTTTAATAGATATTGTATACTTCTTTTTGAGCTTCTCTCTTGATAGGTTGTGTAGAATGTGCAATGTGGATTGTGATGATGTATAACATAGGATACAAGTACAAGCAGGTTTTCAAATTCTAAGTCGTTTATTACTACTATTACTATTATTATTATCATGTTTACCTTTAGGATCATAAAATGTATCGCTACCAATGATATAATCAATAGAAGAGTCCCATTCTGTTTGTATCGTATGTTGTATCAAATAGTCTATACTGTTTGGTGTACCGAACTGACCCCATTCTAATGCACCTATCCAGACATTATCAGAGACTTGATTAAGTTCAAGACACTGTTGCATGGCTGGCACGATGCTTTCAATATCAGTCACTACCATATGAGAAGGTTTTGATGACTTTATGATTGTCAAGGAAGGTAAACATGTGCCTGCACCTACTTCCAGAACTGTCTTATTGATGAACCTTGAACGATTATAGAATAAAAACTCGCTTAGGACAAGAGCAGATGGCCAAACATAGCAACCGTATGCTGCATTAAGAACCTATTCTATATCTTTTCAGTTTTGAAATTGTTTATTATGTATGTTTGCTTTACTTGTTCAATGTAGATCTTGACTTCATCAACTTGATCTGTTTCTTTGTTATAATGAAAATATGAAATGCGTTTTCTACTTTTTAAAGCACTTTTCAAAGACATTCAAAAAAGGGATTACACTGTGTGTATGTTCGCGCCTTGCGAGTCCTTTCAGAGGCCGATGTGTGACTATTATTGGACTATTTAACAGAATTCTGTGGTGTCCTTGTCCAAAAAAATAAGGCCCCCCTATCCCGCCTTTTTTTTAGTATTGGCAATATGTCCCTTAGATCATGTAAGACAGACAATAAGTATATACGATATGATTCTTATTCACTTCTTTAATAGTTAGTCACTCTTTAGTTAGCAACCTAAAGCCTATAAATAATACAATCATTCGTAGCTGTAAGATTATGACATTTCCACTTTATTTTTACTTACTTCAATCATTAGACGCTACACAAAAGAGAGCCCCTGTTCACCCTCCTCGACGCACCTTTCTTTATAATAAATACAATGACATCATTAAGAACAACCGAGCTGTTTTTATATTTCAACACAACAATCTCAATGTCAAGGAATTTACTCAGATCAGACAAGGCTTGAGCCAAATACAAGGTGGATCGGAAACAACATTGACCGTCTTGCGTCCTAGTATCTTTGCAGCTGCCCTGCGCGAAACAAGATATCTCAACCTGGAACCCTTATTGACCGGGCCAACCTGCGTCTTTTACACCAATGTTTCAGATAACGAACACCCAGAGTTACTCAAAAAGTCAGTAGAGATGCTTTCAAAGAACAAAAAGATGTTGCTGTTGGGAGGAAAATTAGATGATAATCTATTGACACAAGGTGATGTATTGAAGGTGGTGGAATTACCACCTCTTGATCAACTTCGAGCTCAACTTGTTGGTGTTGTCGAAGCTCCTGCTCGTAAGTTGATCAGTACGTTGAGTCAACCTTCTAGTGAATTACACAGTGTGTTGAGCAGAAGAATCTAAGAAGATGTTTATTATTAAAAATAAAATAGTGCACAGTTTTTTAATGTATAGAACAGAAAAAAAAAAGAGGGTTGTTCATAGGTGTTTGATTGTAATCATGTAGTCAATGATTCTATCATGGTGTGAAAGTAACTTTAGATGAATTTGGGAAAGTAGGTCAAGGCCTACTCTAACGCCCTTCAATATGAATCAAGCGTGCCTAGACAAAGAAGTAAAATTTTTATGCTAATACTTTTCGCCTTTGGTTTAAATTTCTCTAAACAAACTTTACTTCTTTGTCTAAACGCTCTTGATTCTCTCTGGAATGCAGCTGAAGAGCCTCCTCCAATAAAGTTTTTTATGTGTTTTATATCACTTTTTTTCATATTTCCTTTTTTGAAAAGAGTAACAAAAAAACAAAAAAAAAAAACGCATCAAGCACCACAGCTATTACCGTTAATAGTCTCCTGTGCAAAAACACATACAATGACATTACTATTGATAATTTATGGATCAAGATGTTTTTAGATATCAATGTCTTTTTCTTTGAGGTAAAGATAAACGCAACCTGCGTCTATTGTAAGCTCAGAATAGTGTACTTTTTTGGAGAACATGCATCTGAGTCGAGTGTTTATTGAAAAGCTCTGGACTATAGACACTAACAGACGTTACATCCTACTTAACCATGATATTTCTTTAAATGAAGTAATAAGTAAAATATGGTATCCCTTTCCTTTTTCTAAAAGCATTGTTTGTTTATTAAGATCTAAAGAACTCTAAGCCATGGTACACTTTTTCATAGACTGTGAATACAATTCCTCCAGAGAACTATAAATGATGCATTAGCGCATCTATTTCTTTCTATGACCCTTATACTTACAATCAGTCTGGCAAGTCTTGGTGTAGTCCCTTTCCAGAGGGAAAATACGCCATTCTGTTTAACGACTTGTATTAGACAATCTATAGAATTCTTGTATAGTGTTTTGGCATCTAATCCTTGCATCCTTGTCTTGACTACATCTAATGGCATAGTACTATATACTGTAACAATTCCAGCTAGTGCACCAGCAGCAAATGTATGTGCTGATGGTAATGGTTCGTCTCCTTTACCCCGCCAGGACTGAAGAGTTGTCTTGAAGTAAGAGTAACAACTAAATCGCACTGCACTATTTGCTCCCTGTCTTGCCATGACGGGCCCTAACCCACGATAGATACCTCCTATGCCTTCCTCCGCCACAATCAATCTTGTACCATGCACTAAACCTTTATACCGTGGAGACGTGCTGTTTTTATCATGAATCATCTTTGTCTTGATTGTCTCTGAAGGAGTGACGACAAGAGCAGCCTCTGTCATACCAGCGCCAAGTCCTGCAAGCATGCTTCGAATACCTGTCAATTTTCCGTCCTTGTCTCTGAGGGCATTTGCAATCTGGTCATAGGTCAAGAAGCGTACACCAGCCTTGGCAGCATTACCAATGGCAAGTGCAGAAACACCAGTGTAGATAGCAAGAATACCTTTTGTTCTAACTGTCTTGACTAAACAGTCGATAGGACCAGAAAACTTAAGCTCTCCTGGTTGTAGTTTACCTCCCGCTTGAAGCTGTAGACGTGTCTTGACATACTCGGTTGGATAGGTGGCAATTCCTTCTACACCACCAGCTATTGTACCAGATATAAGCGACAAGAGCGGGTCTTTGGATTTCTTATTTGTATTTGACATCGTTACTTTATAAGCAAGTTAAAAGAAAAAGAAAAGAGGATCAAGATAATACGGGTCTTTTAGGCTATGTTGATTCATCTAATCTGAATTTCCTTTTAAGGAATTTATTTCATTTTCTGTTTCTCTGTCTGATTAGACTTTACTCTCTCTTTCTCCTTGTTTCCCTTCTTCTTCTTTTCCATAAGCACTTGATAAAAGAGAGACAAGCAGAGAGCAAATAGAAAGACTTGTCTTACAAAGAGTACAATAGTGCATAAATGCAAAAAGCCTTTGAAATTTAGTGAGAGTCAAAGTCACTCTATTCAAAATAAAGTACACATATGTTCTTTATGTATACAGTCTTTTCAGAAAGTAAAGTCGCATTTTTGCAATTTTTATAATACAATTTATACGAAAAAGCGACAAGTCAGCACAACATATCTTTCTGGGAATGGTGTAATATCACTGCGGTCAACCTACTACCATGACATCCTTGTAAGCAGCAGTGACTCATATTATGAATGAACTGCGGTTTAGTGTTATTGTCTATAAGCCTGTTTTTATCCAATAAAATTAAAGATGATTCATGTTGAACAATTCCCCACCCCTTGGTGGCTTATTCTATATAAACCAAGAGAATATATCCCAAAGTTAAAAAAATCTCTTTTTTGTGTGTAATATAAACCATGTCCTTGGCTGACTGTAAGTTTTGTTAAATGTATAATGTAGATAATTGTCCATTAACCTCTCAGCTTATAATTAGTGTCTGGTCAATTCAAGTAATTAAGCTATAATTGTTGTCAACAGCAATAATAATAACACTTTTCTTAATAGTTTCCCAAAGGAAGAGGAGAAAATTATCCAATTCTGGAGAGAAATTGACGCTTTTCAAACTTCTTTAAAATTAAATCAAGACAAACCAACTTTTACTTTCTTTGATGGCCCACCTTTCGCAACAGGTCTTCCTCACTACGGTCATTTGTTAGCTGGTACTATCAAGGATATCGTCACTCGTTACGCACACAACACCGGCCACCATGTCGAACGTCGTTTCGGCTGGGATACTCACGGTCTCCCTGTTGAATATGAAATTGACAAGAAACTGGGCATCAGTGGCAAAGACGATGTCATGAAGATGGGTATCGACAAGTATAACGCTGAATGTAGAGCTATTGTTATGCGATATGCCGAAGAATGGCGTAGAACAGTCGAACGTATGGCTCGTTGGATTGATTTTGATAATGATTACAAGACATTGAACCCCACTTTTATGGAAACTGTCTGGTGGGTCTTTAAGCAATTGTTTGAAAAGGGGCAAGTGTACCGTGGTCAAAGAGTGAGTATGAATAAACATATTGCTTTATGTTACTAACAGCTTTTATTATAGGTCATGCCTTACTCAACTGGCTGTACAACTCCTTTATCCAACTTTGAATCTTCTCAAAATTATAAAGATGTCAATGACCCTGCCAGTAACATCAAATATTATTTTTTAATACAACAAGACACTAAACTCAGTTTTATATAGTCGTCGTCGGTTTCCCTCTCGTAGACGATCCTTCAGTTCAATTGTTAGCATGGACCACCACACCTTGGACCCTGCCTTCTAACTTGGCCGTTTGTGTTCATCCTGAATTCGAATATATCAAGATTCATGACGAAGCATCTGGAAACAAGTACATTTTGATGGAAAAGCGTTTGACAATGCTTTACAAGGACCCCAAGAAGGCCAAGTTTACTATTCTCGAAAAATATAAGGGTGCTGATATGCTCAACTGGAAATTCGTTCCCATGTTTGACTGCTTTGCCGAAGAATTCAAAGACAAGGCATTCAAGATCTGTGTAGATACCTATGTTACTGATGACTCGGGTACCGGTATTGTCCAAATGGCTCCTGCCTTTGGTGAAGATGATTACCGTGTCTGTATCGCTCACGGCGTTATTGATGCCGATGGTCACCTACCCTGTCCTGTGGATGACAGCGGTAACTTCACTGCTGAAGCTGGTCCTTACGCTGGCATGTACATCAAGGATGCTGACAAGGTCATTCAAAAAGACATCAAGGCCAAGGGACGCATGATTGTTCAATCTCAATTCATGCACAGTTACCCCTTCTGTTGGAGATCAAACACACCCTTGATCTATAAGGCTGTTCCTGCCTGGTTTGTCCGTGTGTCACCCATTGTTGACAGAATCTTGGCTTGCAATGATCAAATGCGCTGGGTTCCTTCCTTCGTTCAAGAAAAGCGTTTTGCCAACTGGATTGCCAATGCTCGCGACTGGAACGTCTCTCGTAACCGTTATTGGGGTACTCCTATGCCCGTTTGGGTAAGCGAAGATTACGAAGAAGTTGTCTGTGTTGGCTCTATTGCTGAATTGGAAGAGTTGAGTGGTGTATCTCCTATCACCGATCTTCACCGTGAGAGCATTGATCATATCACCATTCCCTCCAAGAAGGGTAAGGGTGTCCTCCGTCGTATCGAAGAAGTCTTTGACTGTTGGTTCGAATCTGGTTCTATGCCTTATGCTCAACAGCACTATCCTTTTGAAAACGCTGCAAAGCTCGAAAAATCCTTTCCTGCGGATTTCATTTCTGAAGGTATTGATCAAACCCGTGGTTGGTTCTACACTCTCTTGGTTCTCTCTACCCATCTCTTTGATAAGCCACCTGCCAAGAACGTCATCGCTAGTGGCCTCGTCTTGGCTGCCGATGGTAAGAAGATGAGTAAGAGTCTCCGTAACTACCCTGATCCCAATCTTGTCATTGACAAGTTCGGTTCTGATGCTCTCAGACTGTACCTCATCAACTCCCCCGTTGTTCGCGGTGAAACATTAAAGTTTAGAGAAGATGGTGTCAAGGATGTAATCAGTAAAGTTTTCTTGCCCTGGTACAATGCCTACAAGTTCTTCCTTACTCAAACTGCTGTCTTGAAGAAGGAATTCGGCTATGACTTCCAATATGATGCTCATATCAAAAAATCTGACAACGTCATGGATCGCTGGATCTTAGCCTCTTGCCAATCCTTGATCAAATTTATTCGTGAAGAAATGGGTGCTTACCGTCTCTATACCGTTGTTCCTCGTTTGCTGCACATGATTGAAGATCTTACCAACTGGTATGTTCGTTTCAACCGTAGAAGATTGAAGGGTGAGAACGGTTTAGAAGAAGCCAAGTTCTCGATGAACACTTTGTATGAAGTCTTGTTTACCTTGTGTCTTACCATGGCTCCTTTCACTCCCTTCTTGACCGAAAACATGTACCAAAGCCTCAAGAGTTTTGCTCCCAAGGATCCCAACGTTGTCGATGATCGTTCCATTCACTTCCTCGAATTCCCTCAAGTCCGTCAAGAATACTTTGACCCTGAAATCGAACGTGCTGTCAGCCGTATGCAAGCTGTTATCGAATTAGGACGTACTATCCGTGAACGCAAGAATATCTCATTAAAGACACCTCTCAAGGAACTCGTCGTCATTCACAGCGATTCTCAATACCATGCTGACATCAAGGCTCTTCAATCTTATATTTTGGAAGAACTCAATGTTCGTGAACTTGTCATTACTGCTGATGAAGACAAGTATGGTGTCAAATATAAGGCTGAAGCCGACTGGAAGGTCATGGGTCAAAAGTACAAGCGCGACGCCATGAAGATTAAGAAGGGTCTTCCTGAGATCAGCAGTGAGCAAATCAAGGAGTTTGCCAAGACCAAGGAACTTGTTGTTGCTGGTATCAAGGTGACAGATGAAGATCTTAACGTCATTCGCTACTTTGAAGCTTCTGATGACACATTATATGAAGCCAACACGGATAAGGATACGTTGATCTTGATGGATGTTAAATTATATCCTGAATTAGAAGAAGAAGGCATTGCTCGTGAAATCATCAACCGTGTTCAACGTCTGAGAAAGAAGGCTAACTTGTTGCCTACTGATGAAATCAGCGTGTATTACAGATTGGCTGTTGAAGCTACTGAACCATTTGAGAAGATCTTGAAGAGCCAAGAGGCTACTTTGGTCAAGGTTCTTAAGAAGCCCATGACACACCACATGACTATGGTCTCTACCGAAACTCTCATCATTGAAGAAGAGCAAGAGGTGAATGGTATCAAGTTTGATCTTGTCTTTGCTAAATAACTATTATAATAATAATAAAAAAAGATATTGCTTCTTAGATTTTACACAAACTCTTTTTTTGTTGGGTTCAAAATTGGGCACGGCGAGTAACTTTGCACTTTTTTTTTTTTTTTTGGAAACTTGATGAAAGGAGAACGTTTGATCAGTAAAGAACTTTCATTTACTCCATACGACGTTAAATGGTTTCCTTTGTCTTCACGATTATGTGTTGTTGGTGCTACTAAAAAGGGTACAGGGCAAATTGCAGTGCATGGATTAGCTGGTAAACATGTAGAACTTAAAGTGGAGGTATACAAATAATACATGTATAAAAAATAGATCTAAGGCCCTCTTTTCCATTTAGGCAGAGACAAATTCAGTTGTTAGATGTGCAGCTATTACAGGACAAGCGCGACATGTGACAACTGGTGATTTTGAAGGACAAATTCAAACTTGGTAAGAGAAAGAAAGAAAGAGAAAAGAGTGCCATTATATATAAACAACATCTTCAACATAACACACACACATACATATATATATATACATATACATACACACACAAAAAGGGATCCTCAAAAGCTCGATGTTCCTCTAACATCTATCAAGGGTCATGAAAGTATTGTCAACTGTATGAGTAGTTTAAATCAAACGATATCAGAAATCGCGACAGGCAGCAGAGATGGATGTGTCAAAGTGTGGGATACGAGGCAGCCAGAAAAGGCAGTTTTGACGATAAAGTCTAATAGCAAAAGAGATATTTGGGCTGTCGCATTTGGTAAAGACATGTAGAGAAAAGATAAGGCAATCTATTAACCTCAGCATATAGGTTGGATAAGAAACAGTAAAGTGCTCGCAGTGGGATATGAAGATGGACTTGTTCAGCTATTTGATGTGAATGGATCTCAGTACTTGTGGAATACACAATTAAAAGATGGAGTCTGTTCAATAGATTTCTTGAATGATAAGTTATTGGTCAGTACATTAAATGGTGCATATAAGATCAACATCGAATCAGGAAAGATAGAGCAAGTGCAGGTAATTAAACAGTATAGATATTGACTACCATTTGATTGATATATCTTGTCTCAGGCCACAAAGGATACAACATTATGGTGCATTAGGCATATACCCAACACTGAACACTTTACAATAGCAGATGGAAATGGAAAATTATCAACCTATAAAGATACTAACTTAGATAACATATTGAGCATATCAAAACATCCAGTCATATCACTTGATTGGAATAAAGACAAGAAAGGATTGTTTGCTTGCTGTGCATTTGATAAAACGATCAACATAGGCATCATTCAATAAAGGAACTTTATTTTTTACGTTCTTGCTTCCATTTGTACACATCTAATCCATGCTTATCCTTTCCTACAATCTTCTTTCTACCTTTTTGTCTTAATGCTCTCTGGAGTTCTAGTTCTTGTTCTGCTCTCTTCAGCTGTTCTTCTCGCTTCATACGTGAAGCTAATTCTTTATACTTTTGTTCTCTTTCCTTTTTGATCTCTTTCAGTTCCTTTCCTGACAGTGGTGCAATAATCTCTGCCTCTTTTAATGTTTCTATACGTGGACGATTGAATTTACGATTGACAAGTTCAGGTAAGGTATCAAGGTGTTTTGCTGGTGAAAACTGTTTAGCTTCTGTCTCTGAATCAACAAAAACTATATGTTTTGATTTCTTTTGTCTTGGTTGTTCTTGTTGTTCTGGATCGTCTATAAAATGAAGTGAATCTTGTAATTTTTCCATTTTCTATATTTAAAAGGAAATGAGTATATGTGTATGCGTGAAAAATATACCCAACTTACTCTTTTACTAAGATCTCTATGATATTTAATATATTGCTTGTCTTGAGACTTCATCAATTGAATCATTTCGTCAGGCAACTCTTCATTTCGTTTCTGAATGTGTTGACCATTTTTTGTTTGACTATTGATCATCTTGAAATAAAATTCATCTGGATTCCTAAATAGAGCCTTTTCTTTCAATGCCTTTAATCTCTTTTGTTTGGCATGAAAATCCTTTGCACGCAAAAGATAATCCTTCTTCTTTTCTAATAGTCCATATTTGGCTCTACTGGCTATCTGTCCACGCTCTTTGTGGTTTCTTCGTTGAACGGCGTTACGTAAACTGGGCATATTGAATGAAATAACAATAAAGTAAGCCACTTGGATACATTGAAGTTTTATCATTAAAGTCAGTCACATAATGTATTCTCCGATAGTACAGGATCTTTCCTGAGAATGAAATGTTTAATGGTAAAGGCTAAGGCCAGCTTGCTCTTATTGTGTCTATTGACTTATAGTCTTTTCAGAAAGCCGCATTTTTGCAATCTTTATAATGCAATTTAATACGAAAGAGTGACAATCCCGGGCGACATATCTTTCTGAAAATAGTGTATTTTATTATTATGTCTAACTAAAACATGTTGCCTTAGTGAGAGCATAAGAGGGTTATTGTCAACAGTAGACAGGAGTCATATCAGCCTGTTTCAATATATAGACAATTGAGTCAAGTTTTTCCGCCTTTTATTTATACTCTCTTTTCTAAAAATCCTCTAGAACGCAGAGCTGATCCACTTGCTTCATTGGTAACAGATTCAAGTGGTGTTTTTTCAGTAGAAATATTAGAGGGACAGAAGGTCTGCTCACTAAAATTTAAGTTGGTTCTTTAAGTAAAAGCTATTTGATAAATAATATTTACCAAAAACGAAAACGAACAAAAAAACCTGTATCCGACAAAACCAGTGATATTATTCCCTCAGCCGTTACCTCGTCCACTGATACTGACTCCAATGCTATCCATCAATTCCGTAAGGAGATGTGTCAAATATGAAAATATAGAGCAAGAAAAGCCCATATTTTGGTAGTAAAAATACAAAAGGATACCTTTTTTTTGTATTCCCAATAGACCGTCAACACATTTAAGTGAAGGTCTATTATACGAGAAATACATTCCGCCAATGAAAAGAGTTCGATGACATAATGCTCAAAGATGATACATGGATGTCACTGATTTATATGTTTCAGTAGCAGTGAACTACATCATATGGGCGAGGAATCGATGCTGGAACCAGAGTGAGAGACAAAGCAATGGCTTTGTGACAGTTCAACTTGGCGGTAGAAGTTTCAGAGTAAATAGCCAGTCTGGAAAACAATACATCTAGTGTAGCATACGAGCCGACAGTACAGATAACATCGTCGGCGTACGCTAATAGCTTGACAGCTTGTAGATGAGGATGTTCTCTAAATGCCAGTGGCGAATGGGGAAATGCCAAACCAGAGAAGAAAGAATCACGTAAAAGGAACTGTAACAGCGGTTCAATGGCAAAGTTGAAGAGGGTTGGTGAGATGTGACCACCTTGATGTAAGCCCTGTCGTTGGCGTAAGGGAAGAAACAGGAAGTCATTGATGTTTAGCCTGAGAACAATCGTAAAAAACAATGCGACCAAACTATGAGCAATACTCGGCGGGAAGCTGAAACGACAAAGTATCTGACGGAAATAGTCTGGTATACTTTATCGTACACTTTATCCTGGTCGAGTAACAGGCTAATAGCCTGTGATTTGGACTGTCGAGCGTGCTCCATAAGTAGCTTCATGAGCAATCCATTATCCGCTATAAAACGATTATGGAGAAAGCCTGTCTAATAGTGACTCACATGATGGTAACTATTACAACTGTTCTTAGTAAGAACCGAAGGATCATCGAATATGGTAAGAGGAGATGTTAAAAGGCTACCAGCCTTAGAACGTGTCATGATTGTTGTGAACTTAGCGTACTTAGATATGTTCTTTCTGGTAATTAGGTTAGCAGAACGGCTGAACAGTACCATAGTCAACGATAGTGCCATAATGGCTCAAATTGACAAACATATCATGACGTAGCTCCTGTATACCTTCTTTAGATCCATAATATTGACGAGAAAGATTAAAAAAGGTAATTTGAAGGGCGTTGGAATCCGGTAACAAGGAGGGATATCCAAAAAGTCATTTCTCGAAGGATGGTTCGTAAACACCGACCTTGGTAACTTCTTCTCAAAAAATGCAAGAAGCAGTGATCGCGACGCAGCTTTTGTTGGGATCACAGCGAATAATGTCTTCAACACTCCACAAGTAGCGGGCAGTTTGTGAACAAAGAGAGTCTGTTTGTAACAAGAGCGATGTCAATGAGGATCAAGCCAGGGGCTGCACCTTTCAAGAAAGGTCGTTCGCTGTAAGATGCGAACTGACCAGGTTACATCTTATTGCGAATAGAAGAGTGATAACGCATATTTATTCTGTGGATATGAAATAGAAATCAGTTTTGACTTCTAGTGTTTTTGTTAAGTTAAAGATACAGTTCCTGTGGTAAAGGAAGGGGGCTTTATTAGAATTATTTGACTTAGCTATTCATATTCCTTCAAGCCGATTGTGTGACAAATTGTCATTTCATATTACAATAAGACTGAGATAAAACTAACTTGACACGACGTTACTCAATGTATTAATAGGCGTAGCAATAGATAAATAATGACAGCATAAGTGAGGATCTGGAATAAGAATAGTAAAAAACACATCTTCTTGGAATTCAAATACTGCGATATATTGACGATAAATTATCTATTTACGAGTATTGGTGTAAAAGTTATAATTTCAAAATCAATAATGTTTCTCTCTTCTTCATCTTTATATTAAAAGCCTTTCATCGCTATTAAACATAGCTCTGCTTACACTTTAAACTAAATACCGCTGAGAAACAAATAGCCCAGACTCAATAAGGGAGATTATGATTATCAAGTATAGCTAAAAGACTGTATGATAAGTCACATATTTACGGTTAAAGTAGTCATTATAAGTAGTGTAGTCCTCTTCAAAGCAAGCCTAAATAGGGTCACCTTGCTACTTGATGCCTCTTCTTTAAGAATCATACAGCAATGTGTTACTTCTTATTAATTTTACTATCCATTCTGTAACCAACTATGCCAGCTTATGATTTTGAAGTTTACACTCATGAAAAGTTCATTTAGATTAACCAGAGCAAATGTCGTATTTGACCATGTCTAATACTAATCTTTACGTGTGAGATTACATTTGACTTAATTACATGTACCTCAGCTAGTACTCCGACCTCTTTTTAAAACAACCTAATTTCTCTCGCTATAAGCTCTCCTCCTCACTTCTAATAAAAAGATAAAACAGAGACTCATCACCTCTTTGCTTTTATTCTACACATTACCGAATACTAACAACAACAACAATCAATACCTCAGCAAAGATTATCGAAGACAGTCAATTTCTTCTCATTTTTTGGCATGTGAACTTCCCATTAACCCCGTTTTCTTCTTCGATTATCAAAAGATAAGGCTATTCCATGGTTCATTTTCCCTTTTCGATTCCTTTATTTTACAAGCACATGATGGCAGTATGTGCCGATAGGGTTTAGTGTAACAATGAAATAAGGGGTGACAAATGTCTGCATAATATGATTTTATACTTCACTGCTTGCACTTTTATCATCAAGGAAGACATGACTAATTGATTTTATATAACAACAAATGGTGGTATATTAATATGTTGCTAGGCTTCAAGTGCAAAGTACTCATTAAAAAGAAGGATTAACAAAAATAGATTCACATTCAAAAAGCTTGTGTAACAAATAACGGAAATGGGCCATTTTAGGAAACAAAGCCTACTGTTTCGTTTTATTACTAGAATCGACATGATTCAAAAAATAAATTGAATAAATATAAGATAAAGAGTAGGTATTTGTAGTAAAAGAAGAAAAAAAAGAGAAGAAAGGAAAAAGCAACAAAAGCAAGATAGAAGGGAAGAAGTAGCCATTTGCTTGTTTACACTTGCTTTGAGTAAAGGTAAAAGAGGAAGGGAAAATTCCGAGTGGAAACTGATATGCTGAATCATGGGTAAATAAGAGTTTACAAATAGCATTTCCCCCCCTTTTTTTTTTTTTTTTTTTGTTCGTGAACTTCTTAATAGCTAACAATAGTTTCTTTTATAATAGCAGCTTTATTCATAAAATTAGTTTTTTCAGTGCTATTCACTTATCTAAAGATGTCCGAATCTACGTTCAAGTACTTTCAAAAGCTCGAAAACCTTATCCAACTCTCATTCGAAAAGGCAGCCAAGTTCGTCCATGACAGCATAAGTCCTATAATAAGAATCCACCAAGTCGAAACGTAAGTTTGGATTTATCTTTACTTTGCGAATCATACTAACATGCCTTTGTAGGGTCATTAGTGGCCTTACTGAGGAACAGACGTGCGTCTTACATGACCATGTGACGTGGCGAACCTTTCCGACAAAGCGTCGACAGTATGGTGCTGTTAATGAAGCTGTGCCTCTCAAACGACGACGTTTATACCCTGGTAGTGCTGGCACTCGCCATGCGGTCAAGAGATTCCCTTCTGGTCATACTTCCTTTCCTTCTCCTCCTGTATCTCGCTTTGCTATACGAGCCAACCGCTTTAATTCCTCTCGTCGTGCCGCTCTTCGTCGTCCAACCCAGTTTAGTAGAAGCCATTTTGGCCGGAATCCTGCGTTTGCCCTTTTGACTCTCCCTAATTGCCGCAATTATCCCTATATCTCCTTCTCCGCTGACGTGTTTCCTTCCTCTGTTCCTTTCTCTGTGATTCCTTCCTCTGACTCTCGTCCTTTCGTTCGTTCTGCTTCTTGCCCTGTCATTCTTGAAACCGTCAAAGCTCAAGTCAAAGGGTCCCATTCCGCTCCTTCATTTCCATTACTTTCTTCTTCTGTTGACCCAATTCCTTCATTTGATTCTTTACCTGCCTCATCTTCCCCACGCCCCACGTTAGCCCGCTCCCATTCTTGTCCTGAACTCTCTGCTTTTGAACATGATAGGAATGGATCTACTTCCATTCTTTTATCTCTACCTTCCTCTCCTTTATCAGCCACATCTCGTTCCCTGAAAAGAAGCCGTGAAGATGTTGATTATGGGACGAGTATGGAACGCTCCTTCATCAGACCCACCAAGAAACTCAAGACTAACAAAGGTTGTGTATTCATCTATGCCAAGAAATATGCCTTTCCAGCTCATTAAAGCTCCTCTTCCATTCATTTCTATAGCAGTTCCTTAATATACTCACGGCCCGTCCCTTCGCCTTTTGTCCTGCTGCTAATTCTGATGTTGACTGTGCTACTTGTCTTATTGCTTGTTCTTCTACCTGTTCCTCTACCTGTTCTTCTACCTGTTCTTCTACCTGTTCTTCTACCTGTTCTGCTGGCTGTTCTGCTGGCTGTTCTGCTGGCTGTTCTGTTGGTTGTTCTGTTGGTTGTTCTGTTGGCTGCTCTGTTGCTTGGATAGTTGGAGGTATCTACTGTGATAATTGTATGTAGTATACATGGCATATTATACTTGAGCTTGCCTTTCTAATTGAATAGCGGTGATTAAGGCAGCGATAAAGACAAAGGACGTTGTGCGTTGGATAAACGGAGCCTGCGCTTCACGAAGTGTAACTTTACTGTCCTTGGTAAACAGTCAGATGTAAAAGAAAGAGGGCTGTTTATCTTTGGGCCATGACAAAGGAAGGTCTTGATGACTGTGGGTACTCCACGGGAGAGCACAGACATAAGTTATTGAAGTAGATTTAATCAGTGTCACTTGTAGCCTCTACCAGCAGCATATAAAATCAAGAATGGGAGCTGCTACAAGTGGTAAATGCATATCATAGAAAGACAGCGATGGTTTCCAAAAATGGTCACAGAGAGCAGAAACCACGCTTTTATAAAATCTGCTTGGGTGACCAAATTGCATAGCAATAGTAAGATAATGTTTCATATGCATGTGAAAATAGAAGCGGTTCGAACTTCTAGTGTTTTTGTAATAAAAGTTAAAGTTTTTTATGATAAAGAAAGGCGTCTTTATTTAGATAATGGTAAACGATTATTTATATCTTTCCACTTGGTGTGTGTAATAATGAATGATTGAAAGAACAATAAAGCTGAACTCAAACTATATTTCACGCGACGGTACTCAAAGTATTATCATACATAATAGCAAGAACGACTATTAGAAAACATCAAAGAATGGGCTTCACATGGAAAGTGAACAAGAAGTAAATGAAAAGGTTGGATCCTTTTTTTATTGAAGGAACGCAGTAAAATGAATAGATCATAGCTAGATCGCAGCATTGAAGTTAAAAAGAAAACACTCTCAGGTATTCTATGGTATAAACAGAGGTAAAGATAAATATAAGCGATCTGTAGGGCTAAGCAAAAATTTTTTTTTCGGCCTATCCACTATATGAAAGAATTCACAGCGATACTTCTCGACATTGTAGGCACAATTCTGTAAGATTAGTGAATTATAGAGATACACAGCCGTATATTGTAACAAGAAGCTCATTATTAAAAAAGAGCTTGAGCTGTTAAATAAATCTCTATGTCAATAAATAACATTTGGAAATGCCCATACATAACTTTTTAGACTTAAGGAAGTTTCAGTACATGCAAAGAATATCTGTATCATCGATTAGGCATATTAATTTTCATGTTAAATCTCTAAAATTGTAATTACTATAGTTTGATGGTGACGCAGTCAAATTAGTCGTTTATAACTATGACTGCTGCAATATACAAATTACTTCATTATTGAAAGTGTACTTGGCTGGTTTTGTTTAACCTGATGCACAGCCTGCGTTGAAATACATCTTTGAAATTACACAAATTTCTTTATAAAAAATTCATTGAATAGCATAGACAGTAAGTATGAAAATTACTAAATGACTAGCATTGGTAAGAAAAGGCTTTGTTATCAGTAACACAGATTTAAATACAACAAAGGCGGATTACAGGTACATAATATTTGTTGACCAACTTTTAGTGTTGTTACATATAATAATACTTCGAGTACCGTCGCGTGAAATATAGTTTGAGTTCAGCTTTATTGTTCTTTCAATCATTCATTATTACACACACCAAGTGGAAAGATATAAATAATCGTTTACCATTATTTAAATAAAGACGCCTTTCTTTATCATAAAAAACTTTAACTTTTATTACAAAAACACTAGAAGTTCGAACCGCTTCTATTTTCACATGCATATAAGAAATTATCTTATCAGTGTACAGGCATATTCAGCTTGACTTGAGACGGCTTATATGATGTAGATTGCTTTTTGGCACAGAGTTGCTTGTATTGACCATAGCGGTGATTTGATCTTTAAGCTTCAGAAAGTGAGACGAATGCCATTGTTTTGAGATCAGAGCCAACACTAAGCAGATTCCATTATTCTTCTAGCTCTTCTATTTCGTGATTATATTCATAAGATTTCATTGTCTATTCCTTTGATTAATCTATTCAAAAGCTGCCTGTTAATATTTTCTAATCGCATTTATATTTTCAAGCTCAAACCTTGCTTTAAGACATATGTTCATTCATTTGTTGTTATTCAAGAGTAACGTTGAGCTTTGATCCCTTTTGCAAAAGTATTTCTTTTTTCGTCGTATTCTTTTATAAAAAGTATACAGGCACTGGTTCCTGGAATGTCACGCCCTAATCCAGAGACGCCAAACCCCCGTCATGGATAGAGGAAGCCCTATCAAGCAAGTGATGTATGCACGAAGCGCAAGCTTTCTTACCACCTTACCAAGTCCCCCGATGATGTGGGCTCTTTTCGACAACAGTCACCCATCACTCATCGGATACCTGGCCCCTTGTTTTTCAAAGCAATACCAACTACAGACGCTCATCCGGGTCAAGATACAGACTGCATCTTGCTATATATCGTTCTCTCCTCACCCCGCCGGGATGCCAAGACGACTCGATAGGAAGATGTTTTTCATAATCGCAAACCAAACCTACCTTGTAAAGATCCCTACGGTAAACCGGTTTCTTTTTGACGTTTGGGTAATCCTACTCCACTCGCTAGTGTGGGCCGGCGCAGCCCTCTGTTGGCTCGAAAGCAACAGTCTTGACTAAAGGAAACCACTACAGCAGGCAACTCCGGCCATTATCATACCCAGGACCGGATATCTAGTCGTTCGTGAGGTATTGGTTGTTGTTGTTGTTAGTATTCGGTAATGTGTAGAATAAAAGCAAAGAGGTGATGAGTCTCTGTTTTATCTTTTTATTAGAAGTGAGGAGGAGAGCTCATAGCGAAAGAAATTAGGTTGTTTTAAAAAGAGGTCGGAGTACTAACTGAGGTACATGTAATTAAGTCAAATGTGATCTCACACGTAAAGGTTAGTATTAGACATGGTCAAATACGACAGTTCGGATCTCCACCCAAAGTGCAGGTTTCTAATCTAATACTCTAACAGAATCCCCAGACAGTCGAGCCCTTTTCACATGTGTGGATCCATGGCCAGTTCGAAAGCATTGCTCCGTCCGCCCGCTCTTGTCGATGTAACACCCCATCACCCTTGATAAAAAATAAAAGAGGTTGTGAGAGCCCAAAGAATGATTACAGGGAAAACCAGCCACGTCTACACCTGCAGTGTACTAGCGCTGACCAGGCATGCTTTTTGACTGCGGACAACTAAGTAAACGCCAGTATATCATCAAGATGACCACTATTTAGGGTTGAGAATCGATGAACTACACATTTATTCGGTCATCGACATCTGAACAGGAAAGCAGGTTTATAAAATAAAAAGATGAGGGAAAAAGAAAAAGAAAAGATTAAAAGGAGGAAAAGAATATATTTATCAAAGAATTAGGAATTATGCATGTTTTTTGTGTGCGACCATATTGAAATCTTTATGCTAATACTCTTCATCTTTGGTTTAAATTTCTCTAAACAGATTTTACTTCTTTGTCTAAACACACTTGATTCTCATTGAAATGCAGCTGAAGAGTCTCCAATAGAGCTTTTTTATGTTATTTATAACTTGTATACTTTCTACGTAATATTCATTAATGGGTACTATTTCAGGAACGATCTTTCCTTTTTTAGTCAGAGTCTATCTGCAGTTAGTAGAATGGTTACACGCTCCCGTTCAACACTGGCTGTGAGAAAAACCCACTTAAAGAAAAGGGGAAAAATGACTAATAGAAAATAAAATCGGACTTTGAACTTACTCAGGGTGTGGAGATTTCCCTTTTCATGTGAAATTTGTTCAATAATGCCCTTTCCTGTTCTCTCTTATGCCAAAAACACTAATCGTACAGTTCACTCCCATACGATCTTGTCTTGTTCATCTCCCTGGGAAATGGGTGAACGCTCTTCTTGATCAAAAAAAGGTTTTTTTACTTGCTTTGTTTGATCCCGTTTATTCATATTGTTGTTAGTTGCCACAAAATGTCATTTTAGAAATCTCGCCAGTAGATCAAAAGACAACTAAAAAAGTGTACTGTGGATGGTCTGGAGAATCATCAAAGCCTTTGCCACCTAATTCTGTATTCACTCTCGGACCAAACGGTAAATTGGACGTCTTGGAAATGGATCCTCAGTTAGGAACAGCCATCGGTTTGCAGGAAGGACAAAAGGTAACAACGACAAAGAGAAAGCGTGTACCGTAAAAGATAAATTAACACAGAAAGTGAGGATAGGTCAATGTTGACTTTTGCAGAAATGTACCCGAATGCAGCACGGTTCATGTCGAGCCTTTGACGGAAGACGACTGGGAGATTCTCGAATTGCACGCTGGTTATGTAGAGGATAACCTACTCTCTCAAGTACGTACTGTATACAACAACCAGGTCATGTGTGTTTGGATTCATGGAAAGACTCTGGTTAAATTGGTTGTGGGTAAGTGGGCAATAGTAAAGCAAACCCATTGGATTCTGATAAACATTGGACCCAGGTGGCATTGAACCAAAACACGAGTATGCAAAGTTGACCAACCAGAGTGAAGTCATTGTAGCGCCCAAAGTCCGAAAGTCAACACAGAGTTCACCTAATGAAGAGAGCGCTCTTACCTCAGGCGCACCCAAGAAGACGCAGCCATCAGTCACGGTGAGAGCAGCTCCTTGTGATGAATCTGTAGGCGATCTATGTGTTCATGTTCACCCAGATTGTATAGCATCTTTAAGAAATGAAAATGGGCAGGCACCTCAGCGAGTGCGATTAGCCAAGTTAGTACCATCCTTTCTTACATTCAGTTCCAATCGACGTGAAGAAGAACAACAGCAGGAGACAGAAGAAATACCGATCGTAAAAGCCTTATTTGCTACACTTGTGATATCTACTCAAGTGCCATTGAGACATGTGATGATAGGATCCGTATTGAAAAATTCTCTGGAGATTAAGGATTTTGATATGATTAAGTAAGATCTACCAGCTACAGCGACGTTTATATTAATTTACTGCTAGAATATCAACCATCGGAATCAAGAAAAGTTCAGCTGGATCATTAGTGTTAAGGCGATTTGTAGCACCTACAGGTCCTGCATCAACCATCAAATTAGGTTTGGAAAGGTAAGAATGGACAACAAGGAGCATAAAACCCTTTTTTTTTCTTTTTTCTAAAACGTACAGCCAGTTCTCAGCAACAGGCACAGCAAAAGCTCCAATTTGAGGCAGACTGTACGACTGCGGCTAAAGGTATGGCAGGTGTTAGCGAAGAGAACTATTCAGCTTATTGGTATCCTTAGAATGGCTGTCAACGCAAAAGGGAGAGTATGTCATTAGCCAAGGAATGGTCATTGACCTAAAAGTCAAGGACAAGGTAGAGCAATTTTTAATTCAGCTAGCAACAGGCCAGGGCCTCTTTTCATCTTCAACACTTCTACAAGATGAGGAACAGTTTGTTGTACTTAGTCCAAATCAAAAGCTGTCCATTGAGTTTGGTGAAGATATTTCGAAAGCACCCTCGGTTGATAGTAAGAAGGACGAAAGGTAAGGGGAGGATCTCGGTGCATATGTGCATACAGTTGAACTATCTACAATAGCGTGTCTATCAAAGTAGGTGGTGTAGATAAACTACTGAGTAGAATAGAACAATATACTTTAGCAAATCTTGCAGAAAAAGAGCTCAAGGCAAGTCTTGGCGTGCCCGGGTCTGGTGGCATCCTTCTTACAGGAGCCCATGGTTCAGGAAAGACCAGTATAGTTCATCAAGTGATGCGATCAGTTAGAAAGTCCTTGATATGTAAAGCAAAGATCTTATAAAGACAATATAGCATCTGACACATGCTTGTAGATACGTTACCTGTCAATTGCTCTGAACTAAGTGATGAGCGTATACCCGTCATTAAAGAAACTCTTCAGAAATGGCTTGATGAAGCAGCATGGCATAGTCCGAGTTTAATATTTTTCGATAACCTTGATCGACTGATCCCTGCAGAACTTGAGCATGCGGATTCGACAAGAAGCCGTCATATTGCCGAACTATTTGTCCGCATGATTTCAAGAGCTTGCCAAAGACATGCTATTATGATTATTGCTACATCGCAGCAACAGCAATCCATTCACCCTGCATTGATTACACATCATGTGCTGAGTGAACTTTGTCATCTTCAGCCACCCAATAGAGAAGAGCGTAAGCTGGTAAGTAAGGAATAAATCAAGATGTTGTAGTGTTAACCAAAAGCAAAAAAAAAAAAGATCATGGAAACTATTATGTCACAAGGATCTGATGTTCTCAAGAAGAGTTTACCGAGCATTGATCTTGTTTCCGTTGCATCCGAAACCGAGGGTTTCCTTGCAGCAGACATAAAGGCATTTCTTGAGCGAACTGTACACGAAGGCGCAGTTAGAAGTATTAAGAAAAAGATGGATGCACTCAAACAAGGAGTTGCAGTGGACAATGCTGATCTCACTTTGATTCAAGCAGACTTTTCAAAGGCTCGTCAAGGCTTTGTGCCATCTTCGCTTCGAGGCGTGAAGCTGCAGAGTTCTGGTGTAAACTGGTCGGACATCGGAGGTAATAGGGTGCGTTACTCACAAGACATTAGTTAACCATTGAGTAGGTCTAAATGAAACAAGAAAAGCGTTACTTGAAACACTAGAATGGCCCACCAAATATGCAGCCGTCTTCTCTCAGTGTCCACTTAGACTACGTTCGGGGTAAGAGTTTGAAATGATTGTTGCGTGTTTTTTCTTAATATTTTTGTCCATAGTCTATTACTCTATGGCTACCCTGGTTGTGGAAAAACACTATTAGCATCCGCGGTTGCCAAAGAATGTGGTTTGAACTTTATCAGTGTGAAAGGGCCTGAAATTCTAAACAAGTATATTGGTGCAAGTGAAAAATCCGTACGAGATCTATTCGAAAGAGCACAGGCTGCTAAACCTTGTGTGTTATTTTTTGATGAGTTTGATTCTATTGCACCACGAAGGTAAAAAGGAAAAAAAAAAAAAAAAATACAGGCTCAGCATGAAACTGAAAAATTATTATTGTCACAGAGGCCACGATAGTACAGGTGTGACAGACAGAGTAGTCAATCAAATGCTCACACAAATGGATGGCGCAGAAGGATTAGATGGAGTTTATGTGTTAGCAGCAACAAGGTATATAAAGAAATATAAGAAGAGAAACATATGATTAACCCGTATACCTCTAGTCGACCTGATTTGATTGACCCAGCGTTATTAAGACCTGGTAGACTGGATAAAGCCTTATTGTGTGGGATGCCTAGTGTGGAGGAAAGATTAGAGGTAATCATACACAATGTACAATAATTTGATTTATTAAAAGTTGATAAAAATAGATACTGCAAGCACTGTCTTCTAAAATGAAGCTGGCAGCGAATGTGGATTTGAGGGTCTATGCAGAAAGGACAGAAGGGTTTTCTGGAGCAGATCTTCAGGGGTTCTTATATAATGCACACTTGGAGGCTATTCATGGAAGTATCCAAATAGAAACATTTAAAGAAAGCAATGACAACAAAAGACAAGAAAAGCAGAATGAATTTGTAATGAATGATAATAACAAAGTAGGATTGACATTGGCTGAAAAGGGACAAATCTCACAAAGGGTAAACAAAAAAAGAAAGATAATTAATAAATGATTAATTAATACCAAAACTGTATATTCATTATAATAGCTGGCAATGATAAAGAAGGAAATACAAAATGTTAAAAAAGAAACACCAGTGAAATCTGAAGTAGTTCAGCCTCAAAATGAAGCAGAAATAACTATTGATTATCTCGAGTCATCATTGAGATCGACAAGACCTTCGATTACAATAGAAGAATATTATAGACTAAAGGCAATTTATGATGAATTTGTTACTGGCCGAACAGGTGAATTACCTTCAGGGGAAGCTGCAAAGGGTATTGGCAAACGCTCCACTCTTGGTTAAAATCTATTAATAGAATATTTTAAATTCAACAACTCCCCTTTTTTTTCTCTTTCTGTCTGTCTGTCCCTCTTTCTTTCTCTCTCTTAATATCTCTCTTTTTTTTTTCTTTTTCTCTCTTTTTTAATTTTTTATTCCCTTAAATTTTTATAATTTCAATTATAAAAATAACAGGTTTAAATTTAGGAAAAGTGTAAATAAAAAAAAAAGTTTAAAAATATAACAAAATACGCGCATTTTTTACTAACGGCACCACATTCATTCATTCATACAATACAATACACAAATACACACCATAAAAAATTTTACATTACAGTCAATGGGACGTAAAAAGATCAAGATTCAGCCCATTAAAGACGACCGCAATAGACAGGTAACTGAAGAGAATATTATAAGAAATGCTGCTGTTACTAAAAATAAATCAAGGTCACTTTTCTTAAACGCAAGTATGGTTTAATGAAGAAAGCATATGAATTAAGTGTGTTATGTGATTGTGAAATTGCATTAATCATCTTTAACAACAATGGCAAACTTGTACAATATGCTAGTACAGATATTGATAAGATACTCATGAAATATACTGAAGTAAAGTATACATGAAATCAATTGGGATGTGTGTGTTTATATTCACTCTCTCTATAGTATAATGAACCACACGAGAGCAAATCAAATCAAGATGTATGTTTATATATATATCATAAGATATATTATATCTCACAGATTCAATTATATAGTTTATAAGCAATCTAGAGCAAGATGAATCAGTAAGAGACGATGAAGATGATGATATGGATGATGATGAACAACCTAAAAAGACAATGCCTACTGTCACTGTTCCTACTCAGGCAAATCATAAAACATATCAATCTCCTCAACCGCAACCACAGCAACCACAACAACAACAACAACCATCTGTTCCTAACCAATTGTATTATCCTCCTCAACAAATGCGTTATGGACAACATCAAATGTCTCAAGCCTATGAACTGTATACTATTCCTTCTCAACAATCAAATCCCACTACCCCTCAACCTATGTATATGATTGTAAGTCTTTATTTTTAATTCAAAATGTGTATATATAACCCTCTGCTTTCATTGTAGAATGGTGTAGCTACTCATGGAGCACAGACTGTTCCTCCTTATGGCTTTGTATCTCATCAACATCAACATCAACATCAACATCAACAACAACAACAACAACAACAGTATCAATCTCATCTATCTCAAGCTTATTCTCCGCGTATCCCTGCAGCTCATAGTAGACAAGCATCCATGCAGTACCCCATGAACAATATGCCCTCACATAATATAGCTGCACCTACCAGCCCTGCCATGTCTACACACAGTACCATAAGCGCTACCAGCAAAAAGCCGCCCAAGTTGCGTGTGCAGATACCAGAAGTAATAGAGAACCAATCACCCGGCCAACTTACGGCTGTTACAAAACATAAGCATCAATTATCCGTTTCTTCAGTCTCCTCTACAGGCACAAAGGATGAAGCAATAGATGTGTCCTCACAACAAACAAATGAAATCACACCACCGCAGCAGCAGCAGCAGCAGCAGCAGCAACAACAACAACAACAACAGCAGCAGCAGCAGCAACCGTATTACCGTCCTACAGAGCCAGGCCCACCTTCTGCTCTACCTTCTCAGTTTGCACAGAATCTGCCTTCACCTTCAACATTATATCCTGTATTTTATCAGCAAAACGAACTACCAAGTCCACTCAATTTTACAGCGACACCTGTTACTGCTCAGCAGAATGGAGGAAACAATGTCTTTCACTGGCCAGTTCCTCAACAACGAGATTATAGACCTTCACCTCTAAATCCTGAAAGGTAATCTCATATGCCTTTATGTACTGATAACTAATATTATGTGTAGTGAATCAAATACTAATAAGAGAATGCATAAAGAGCAACAAGAACAAGAAAACAAAAGACTAAAGTCATAAAAAAAATACATATATATAAAAAACAGCTCAGTTCATTTGAAACTGATACGCACACAAATGTATAGTAGCGGTAGCCAGTAGTAGTAGTAGTAGTAGTAGTAGTAGAGGCAACGAGTCGTAGTCGATCACACAGCTACAGACTTTATGTTTATATGTATTAAACCTTTCCTTTTTGTTTTTTGTTTATAAAATAAACTACTCTTTTTTTCATAGAATACATCGTGACTTTTACCCTTTCTCTTTTTAAATGTCATTGCTCAAGAGATGCAGCATTGCAAGAAGCTGTTATTCCACCTGCTCCAGTGTATACAGCAAACCAGTTGATAATAGACCTATCGGGTACTTGAAACTACCTGGCCTAGTTCCTTATGAAAAGGGACTTCAATTGCAGTCATATCTTGTAGCCAGACGACACCGTATTAATCAAGAGAATGCTAATGTTCCAGTCGCCGACGTCATTTGCTTACTAGAACATACACCCACATTTACTGCTGGTAGACGAATGCGTGGTAAGACTGATATGGAAGAAGAGAAAAGGTTAAGAGCTTTGGGGGCAGATTATTTTGAGGTATTTTTGTAAAACATCAAAAAAAGATACAAGGCATACTATATCTTTTTTTCTTTTTCTTTAGACCATGAGAGGTGGGCAAGTGACGTTTCATGGACCAGGGCAGCTTGTTGCCTATCCGATATTAGATATAAGAGGTTATAAGGTTTGATGTAGCCGATGATGTGAAAATATATGTGTATTAACCCAATTCATACAGTTGAATGTTAGATGTTATGTTTCTAGGTTAGAGAAAACAATCATTGATTGTTGTGCTAAATACGGAATTAAAGCCAATACGACAGAAAATACAGGCGTATGGGTTGGGCATGACGACAAGATTGCGTCCTTGGGAGTTCAGCTACAGCGCTATGTGAGCAGTCATGGGGTGTCATTGAACTGTAATATTGACTTGAATTGGTTCGATCACATCGTGCCGTGTGGACTGGCCGATAAGCGGGCTACTTCTATCTCTAAAGAAAAGAACCAAAATATTTCACCTGATCAAGTGGTACCAAAGCTCGTTGAAAGCTTTGAATCATTATTTCAAAAAGAGTTAATTCCTATTGAAATAGAGGATGTACTAACTAAACAGGAACAAATTGAATTTTCTTTATTGCATTAAATACGACTCCATGTTATTTTGGCTCCATTCATTACTACTATTACTACTACTATTGTTATTATTGTTATTCTTACTGTTATCTGTGGTATGGTTGCCGTTTGAATAAAGATTAAAATTGAGTATGTCATTATTCCATGGCTGTGCTTCTGGATGATCAGGAAAGAGCAGTAGATCTCCTTGATTAGGATTATCAATGCTTGATAAATCAAAATTGAATAAGTCTATAGTAAAAGAAAGGATTATGATCTACAAGATGATGATTCAATGCCTATTTACTACTCACCATTGATATCAATATCTTGATCGATAAATGACATGGAGTTGGGGCTTGATGTAAGCATGGTGTCGCTTTGTACAGATGATGATAGCAGACTATCTTGTGCAGGTATAGGTGAATGAATTGTCATGTTGGCTAGACTTTGTAATGCTGGTGATTCTGTCTGTTGCAGGGCCCATGCACCATTGCTTGCACTTAGGATGGCTTGTGGCGATTGTGACTGTTGCTGTGGCTGTGTAGGTTGCTGTGTAGGTTGCTGTGTAGGTTGTTGTATAGGTTGCTGTATAGGTTGTTGCTGTTGCTGTGTATGCTGCGGTTGCGGTTGCGGTTGCTGTCTTGGCAACAATGCCTGTGGCTTATTTGGTAACTCAGGTTGTTGAGTTACTTGTATTTTGGGCGGCTGAACTTGAGGAGAAGGCTCCTTTCCATTGGCTCCTGACTTGATCAGTCTATCGCGAGCTTCTTTTAGTCTCTCTATCAATACTGCCTTCTTGCCTGTGGCCAGCAAACCACGTTCACGAAGCATTTCTTTCAATTCTGCGACTGTCACATCATCAAAATTAACGTGTAACAATTGTTCATCTAATCTTCTCTTTGTCTCCGCAGGGTCCAAGACAACAGGCTTAGGCTGCGGTTTCTTGGGTACACGTTCAATAGCCATTGGAGGCGCTTCGACCTTTAGTGCTTTTGAAGTATGCTGAATGGGACGAGGATCTGTCACTTGTACGCTGGCAAATATCACTGGGTTCTGAGTTTTGTTATACTGGCTTCTTCCCTGAAAAGCAGGAGGTAGAGAAGAGGACCTTCTTCTTTTTGTATGCTGCCTTAGTTTTTTTCCCAATTCCATATTATAAGTTGTCTTTTGTAATTCTGGAAAGAATGTGATGGTTTGTGGTTGTGGTTGTGGTTGCGGTTGTTGTTGCTGTGTGTTTAACATGGTCGGAGATAAATTATGTGATTCAATAGAAGAGCTTGTGGAAATGGGTGAGGAAGATGAGTCAGGCAAATGTGCATTTGTACTTGTAGTAGTAGTAGCGGTCCCCTCAGTGTTTGAATTGCTTGGGCGATGTTGATCATATGAAAATTCAGCTGGAAACGTCAAGTTCTAATAGTAAAACGATGGGTGAGAAAATATTATTATTTTCATCTTTTGTGTGTGTGTATTTACAACTTTGTCAGTCTTGAAAGGAAAATCTTCTTCTATAATAGTTGGTTCATTGATGACTTTATTCAAAAATAGCGGATTGATAGGCAAATCAACTGAAGAACTACGTCTTCTTTGAAATGGAGGTGGAGGCAATGGTTGCTGATAAGACACGGCTGACTTTGGGTCATAGTCCAAATAGGATTCTTGTCCACCATTACTCCAGTCTATGCTTGTAAACAAAGGCGTGTGGTGTAAACTCCAGTAATCGTTAGCTTCCATCTTGATGTAAAGAAAGAAAAAAAAAAAAAAACGTAATTTTTTTTCTTGCATGGTTTTTTTTAAAGTTCAACTTTGCCTTTTTTGTATATGCTGGGATTTAATCAGAATAGCCAGTTTGTGCAAGCTGAGGAATTGTTGACACATCCCAAGGCTCCAAAGTAGGAAATAGTATCTATTGAAAAGATCTTTAATTCTATCTTTTTTTAATTGTGCTTCTTTTGAAACAACAGCTAGACACATTACGCACATACAGTCAGATTTGTGAACTTTGTTGATTTCAGTTGTTTTTCTTTGTCGGTTATCCCAGAACAATCGTCGGTTATCAAAATTGCACTATTCCCAGAAAGTAATGTCGTTCCAAGATGTCGTATTTTGTATATTTTGTATTATAAATTGCTGAATTATGCGATATAGCTTTTAGAAAAAAAAAAAACTGTACATCACAATGACCCTAAATATTGGAAAAACGAACTTTGGGGGTGGAGCCAATGTATAGAGCAAGATTGCCAACTCAAAGCTCAGCGACAGGTAACAAGCTAGGACACCTTTAGAGTATTAAATATAAATACAGTGCTTACGGTCTCAGTTGGCGGATATACCAAATCCAAATAGCGTTTTTTTTCTTTTTTCCTTCAATTGTCGTATTGGTTCAATTTATCTTTATATAGATTCTTTATTTAAACACTTAGAAAAAACGTTAACAGAATGTTGAATACAGTTTTGAAGGGCGTTTACAGGCACACTGTTGCGCGCCTCAGCGATTTTGGTATGAAGGTCTTCAGTAGCATCAAATTAGCTACGTTTTACTCTGTTTTTGACAATAGCCCAAAATTGGTCAATGGGATTCAATTTAGGTGAGTAAGGAGGCAGATAAATACATCTATATCCTCTACTACTAATTAAAGAGCTAATTTCTTCGTGAGTATGAATAGGCGCATCATCCATAACAAGGTAAACGCCTTTCATTTCTGGGAAATTATCCAGTTGATTTAATGTTCCTCCTCAAAAGCTCAAGGTAATGGCCTGTTCTTATCCCCGCCTTGCTGGATTTTGTTTTTGTACTCGTAGTTTTTCTTTTGCGAGCCCCAGAAACTTTTACCTTTTTTCTCATCTGAACGGTTCTGACTTCAATGTTGACAACACTTACAGATGAAATTGCCCCTAAGATGGTATGTGATTCGACTCTGGTAAAAGGTGTCTCAACAACAGCAGGCGTGTTACGGATAGATCTACCACGGGATGATCTCATATTTATATCAAAAGCGGATTCATCAATAAAGACGCAGTTTTTAATATAATCCATATCCGTAGCCATCTATTTAACAATTCATGTATATCTGTTGTTAATACGAGTGGTATCATTTCGAACTACAGGCTGACGTGAAAGTTTTTTCATTGACAAATTACATTCATGAAGAATAAACTTGTTAACTGCACTTCTTTTTAAGCTAAAGCCTTCAAATGCATGAATGAGGCTTTCGATATCTTCATCTGTTGTGGCGAATGGCTTTTCGTCATACAAACTGATGATATGACTTTTTTGTTCGTTTTGAAGCTGACTACGTGGGCGATTAATTTTGTTGGTCTGCTTTTCATATATATTCCAATCAGGATCGACTTTCAAATTTTTAGCCCAAGTTTGTGCTGTTCGTCCAGATATACCAGCAAGTCTTCTTGACTTTGCTGCTGAGAAAAATTTGATTTTCAAATTGTATAAAAAGAGGGTTTTCTGGTCTTCCGTGTAGTTATTGTAGCTATTTTCTGCGAGCAGTTTTTTAGCCTTTGTTTTCTCAACTTTCTGAATAATAACTGACATTCGATTTTCCAAATTTTCATCATCAGGGTTCTAATTCTATAGGAGTAGGATGCAGTTCCTTATAGTTGGCGAAACGGAGACGGATGATGTGG